GAATATATTTGCTATTTTCAGCTTATTTTTAATCTTAAATACTCCACTTTTATTATATATATTTTTAAATTCTCCGATCACCATTCAAATGTCCGTACCCATTGGCACATTTCTGTCGAGAACGAAGACCTCGAACTTACAGCTTTCCAGTCAGCAGTTATGCATGAAATGTTAATCCATCCATTGTAAACCCTCTTTATTATTATTGCCCACTAACAACCCGCTGTTGCACTCGAATTTCCACAAGTCGACCATCGGCCACTATGTTATAGAAAGCCAGGGAGGAAGAGGAGGGGATAACTGTGATTTGGGTCCTCGTGTTGCATCATGGGACTGTGTAAAATCTGAGTCTCCTGGCTACCGTGAGAAGAGGATGTCGACAGTTCTGTACACTTTCTTGAATTGTGGGGCTGTGTAAAATCTCAGCCTCCAGCATATGTGATTTATCATGAGAAGAGGATGCCGACAATTTTGCACACTCGAGTTCATCATTATGGGGCTGTGTAAAATATCAATCTCCAGCATGTATGGTTACCATAAGAAGAGGATGCCGACAGTTTTGCACAGTCGAGTTCATCATTAATGGGCTGTGTTTTGTTGTTGACTTGGATCAGCACAAGCCATCGCTGACCTTGTGCTGACCCTTGGTGTTCTCCCCAACCCCTTCAGGTCAACGTTATCTTATTAATGCTTATTAATTGAGTATCGTTGACTTAAGAGGGAGGACATCCGGTTGCGGATTTCCTCCCTCTCCTCTCTAAGGAGGACATCCGGTTACGGACGAGGCTCCGGTACACGTCAGTATCCGGCTCAGTCGGCCAAACACAATTTTGATGTCATGCCGGTCCTTCTAGATTTCATGATGCAGCTTGGTCTGCCTCAACATTTCCGGTACAGCCGGCCAACATTGTTGAAAAAAGTAGTCGAGTAGAGCGAAGTGCTCCTTCGGTATCTTTCAGTCATTCTTTCCGATTCAGCGATGCCCCTACAACTGCAGGTCGCCCACATAGCTCAGTTGGTCAAAGAGGCTCCCGAGCTCGCTATTCCCGCCGAGCTTCAGCAGCGCCACTTGTTGAGTGGCGCAGTAATCCCGTTTGATTGTGAAGTTCGCCACATTGTTGCGCAAGTGCTTGAATTCCCGGCAAACATTGTTATTCTTCCGCGTGGGAATCGTGCTGCGCGTAGACATGCGCCCGCTTTACTGACTATCACGGAGGATAGCAATATTGCTGGTTCATCTGCGAGCCGCACAATAATGCAGGTTTTAGATGAGATCCTCGTAAGGAGCTACGCTCCACTGGTAAAGAGTGATGCACTTCAGCCGATTATGCGTTACCTAGACGTCCATATTACAGCAATTTTGAATAGCAGTAAGCCGCGTGTTCCGGCTGTAGTGGTCGACGCTGTGCATTGCCCATCAGAACAGTTTGATCCTAAACGAGTACTGGTAGTGATAAAAATTAGTAATGAGAACGTGCGGGACCAGCGCAAGATCACCTTCGTATCACAATACCATGAAGCAACTGGGCTAGCTCGAGTTTATCAAATTAACTGTCCCACCGCCCACAGTCCAGCGACAGGGACTATACATTGGTCTGATCAAGTATTTATACCTACCGGGGCACAAAAAGGTCATAATTTTGTGCTACCAAAGGGCTTCAGAAAACAACC